AAGCAACATGGCCTAATAGCCTGCCAGCTTGCTCCTATCCGAGCCCAACGGAATCACCATTTAGACGCTTTCTTTTTGAGGATGCCAGCGACCTGCGCCAAAGACAAACATGTCAAGGCTGGTAGGGTGCAGGACCATGACGTTTGCTTCGGTTTATGAAATCCCAAGCGATGTGAAAGAGCAGCTCACAAGTTGCAAGCTACTCCAAGCCCATAGCCAGGGCTGCCCTGGGCCGCGAAAAGATGACCAAACCATACAGGGCACAAGGTCGCCGGTGCTTCCGGTGGTTTCCGCTTCCTAGAGACAACCGCCTTTTCCCGTCAAAACAACCCAAGAAATTGGAGCCCTAGAAAGTTATTGTCCGCGTGCCGGCGCGCCCTTCGCCAGCCCAATTTTTGCCGCCAGGAGTTCAATCCCTTTGATGGGCAGGAGCCAAGCCAAAGGCCCGATTTGCGGGACGGGCGCGGAAGCCGTACGGGTCAAAGTCAAGCCGGGGGACCGCGAGATTTAGTCCACGTATCAATTTTGTCCATGTAGCCATTTACCAGGGTTCCATTCTGGGTACCTATTGTTGGCCCACAGCCAACTAATGATTTTATCTCACCTTTGCGGGGCGGCTTGATGGGACGTCCTTTGTGAAGGGAGCCATGGCACGCTTGCCTTCGTGCAAGTGCTGGATGATATCTACGGCCCTGGATAGCTCAACCTGTCCTACGTATTAATAATCAATATGGACGGGGGTCCCCGTCAAAAGTGTGATTTCCTGCTAAACCCAGGAACACCGGTCCTATTCATCAACTGGGGTTGATTAATATGGGGGTCGAGATAAGACAACTTTTCGATTGTGGCTCGCCTGCTTATTTCCCGGATATTTCCCGGAAGCTATTTGGTCTGCACATCTCCCATTTCAAGTTTGCCACTCTCATCTTAGATTTTCCCGCTCAGCTTCCGTGGGTCCACAAGTGCTCTTTGGTTCGACCTGTAGCACAGAATGACGGTTGCCCCACTAAGCAGCAGCAACATGTGAGGTTTTGCTGGCGATCAAAGACCCGCCCTACAGTTGGGTGTGTGTTTGTTTAAGTACCCAAACAATCAGGTTTCGTTTTGTTAGGGCCAAAACAGTTTTTTGAGTGCAACCAACCCCAAACTGTGTCCTTCTTGGAAAAGGCTTTTTGGTGGCTGCTCTGTTTTGGGACGGCATTACGGTATGTCAGGCCGCCTTTGTCTTCCACTCCTTCCGAGATGGCTGAGGAGCTGGATGGTTCATGGGATTAGGGAAGTTTCGGATGTCGGATCAAAACTGATAGTTTAAGCGGTTCTCAACATCACACTTGGGAGCTATTTGTCCTGTAAACCACCATGTAGAAGATGTTGAGGACGTCACTTTGCATCCACTGACTTTGTACTCCACTCCCTGACTTCTCACTCCCTGACTCTGACTTCCTGGACTTTGTACTTTTGGGGGGTTGGGTCATTTAGCGGCAACCAGAAGGTGCGAACTGTTTGGGGCAAGCCACTCAGGAAGTGACTATTTCTATGTTGGTGAATCAGTATGATTCACCTCCAAATCGATGCCACGTTCAGTGTGGGCAGAATTTGCCCAGTCCGGCATGCTTCTGCTTGTTTTGATCGGGCGTGAGTGGCCGTTTCCACTTAGACGAGACCAAGAGCTTTATGCTGATAGAGATACCCCTTTTCCCTCACAGGGTTGTACATGGACGGATTTCACTTGTTGTTTGGTCCTCATTTCCCAGCGGAATCCACCTATGTTGCCCAAAGAAGACTTGGGACCATGTATGAGTGCGAAGACCTATAGGCCCTGGGGCATCTTTTGGAAACAAGGGATTCCACTGGAGCCTTGGAGTCCGGAATCCATTTTTTGGACTACTCCCAAATCAGGTTTGTGTTGAACTACTTCCAAGGTCGACGGTCGACTTAAACCGTTTTGTATGTTTTGTTTGAAAGAAGTGAACCGCCCTTGGGTAAAAGTCTACCTCGGGGTAATCCAACAATGGGTATGTGCCCCACAGCACAAAAGGGTCCTGAAGAAACACGCCAAACTGGACCCCAGCTTGTTTCATCCATTTCTTCCCCGTGAAACCCCTCCGGACAAAACGTGAGGAGGAGCATGGCTCGTTGCCTCAGCTTCTGCTGGCAGAGCCTTGGCAGCCCCAGTCCTTGCAGGCGCGATTCGAATGGAGCGGAGTTCTGGCGAGTTGTGGTGGATTGTGAATCAAGTTTGCTGGTGCTCTGGTTGCCCTGAAAAGGATATCCGTAAAAGGGGGAATCCTCTTAACCAAGAATGTACCCATTTGGACCCAGCCAGAAAGCCCCACTTGGATTCGCTTGCAATACCCTCCCTCCCACAAACAGAGCACCTGGTGGGAGGGTACCCTGTCAGCTAAGGGGTCGAACGGATAAAAAGGAACCCTTGCGATGGGAGCTGGGCAACAGTTGTTCACCTTTTACCAATCTGCTGATTCCACTGCACTTAACCTTGAACGCACTTCAACCTGCTTGGGGCAGCCATGGTTTGGAGATTGAACCCCCCATTCCTCTTGAAACCAAATGGGAAGATACCGAACCGCCAAACCACCAAACCAAGCCACCAATTAGTGGAAACCCAGGATTAATACACAAATGGTTGATTAGCACGCAGATGCCCCGTTTCAGAGGGGGATGTTGCATTCTCAGGCGAACCTCCAATAATCCACCAAGAGCACTTGGGAGTCAACATTGGGCAGGGTTGCTCCTTGCACTCTCAAGAGGCTACTAAACCTCATGGGAGAGATGTGGACAGGGTTCCCTTGGTTTCCGTGCATCCGGGGCCAGTGTCTACCCTTCCAGGGACTTCGCAGCAACGTAGTGCAATTGACTAGGAGAGGCCGAACTTGGTTATTTGGCTGTCTTATCCGCAAATGGGCGGGGGATGGTTGTTTTGCTACAAGTCAACGAGGGAACGAACGAATTGGAGATTTCCGGACATAGTTTTGGCTGTCTTCCTATCTCGAGCTAAAGTCATGGCAGCAAAGATGCAATCTACTGCTAGGTTATGGGTTGAACAGTGACCAGCCTTGTCGCATCGAGCTTCAGCGCTCGGGGGACGGTTGGATCCGCAGGACGAGATCAGTATGCCTCGCTGGGAAGATACGGACACCACCCATCAGCCGCTGAAAATCGCCCTGGCAGTACGTCGGCTTCTCAGCGCCGAGAGGATGGATCAGCGAATTCCCCCAGTTACTATGATGTTTCCTTTATTGGCGTTAATTCAGCTTCCATCTAATTGGTGGGTTGGATTGGTCCCGGATTAGTGGTTTGGAGATGAGTTGTGCTCCGTTTGCAGGTGTTCAAACCCCCAAGTCACTAATCCTAACCGCCAGGTAGGGAGGAACCTAACTCATCACTTTTGGGTTTTGGACCATGTTAAACAAATCTTGCAACCAGTCCGCATCGGAAGTCAGAGCAGAAAGAAAGAAGGCAATGTGAGGCAGTAGACCCCCTGGTTGACATGGGACCTCTGCCTAGGAGTGGCCTCTAGTGGCTGTTCGGGTCCATGTGTTTTCCACGCCCTGGGGCAGGAAAAGTTCAAACAAGAACTTGCTTGAACTTCTAGTTCCTTTGTATGGCCTGAAACAAAAGGTAGTCCAGTCCCACCGTGTCGTTATTTGGAGCAAAGGCAATCAAATTTAGACCGGCTTTTCGTGATCCATTCCCTATATGTTTGCAAGTTGGGTGCCCGTCTCGGGCGGCTTAACTCCCCGAGTTTCCGGACTTCTACTCTTGGGCTTTGGTCACTTTTGCTGACTCTCGATCGGAGGTGGAGGCACTCTGCCAAGTGATCTGCCCCAAATCCCCTCGGATTCGCAAGCACGGATTCCTTGGCACCGGTTTGGGGCTATTGAGAGCTCAGCTCCGACCAGGGACCTGGCGTTTGCCCGACTTTTCTTTTGTGTGGTTTCCCTGCGCCCTAATCAAACCCCACAGCCCTAAACCGAAACAAACCCTAAACTTTATCCCCACACAAAAACCCGAAACCCAAACGCTTAAACATGCGGAAGACTCTAAATCCAAACCCAAAGCCAAGCCCCAAGCTTGAATACCAGCGTTTATGTATGGGTTTACACACTTAGCCTTTGACACATGGATTGGGTGTAATTCCGCTTTGTGTTGAGGTGCCATCGTCGCCTTTGTGCGGGCCATGCGTCAAGCAGAAGTCTGTGGCATCGTGATGCCGCTTTTGCAACTGCTGCTCTGGCCAGTGCAGCTCCCAGCTAAGATCCAGTGCTGCAAGCCTTCACAAGACCGACGAATTGTCTATACCCCGCATCTTTGGAGCAGCCCTGACGTAGCCGCGTGCTTGCCATATTCCAGCTAACCATGAGGTGAGCAATCGAACTTTTTCTTGGTAGCTTGTTGCGAGTTTGGGGACGGCCCACCCAGCCGAAAGATACGCAAGGCCGTTTGCCATTCCATGGTAGGCCACTGGTCGGCAGTCACGCACTTTGAAGCACAGCGATGGCTGTCAGAGATCAAGAGTCTTCAAGATCACAGTGCGACATTTAGTAGCCTGCAGTTCTGAGGAAGTGCCTACTGCCATCATCACCAACATCAAGGCCAGTTGCCAGAGAGTTTCTGGAGCTTTGCATAGTCCCATGCGGGACATATGATTTAGGGGTCCCCTTTACAGTGGCAAAAGTCCTGTGGGATGGCCCGCTTTGGTCGAATTGGTTTTTTGTTGCCTTCAGGAGCACCCGCGCATTTCTCTTGAGACCTTTTGCTTGTGGCCCTAAAAGGGAAACCAACAGGCAAATCAATGTCCTGTGTTTTTTGGGGAGGTCCCCTAAAAGAGACACCCAGCTTAAGTCGCTAAAACAGTAACAGAGCGCGGGTGCACGTTCAACAGCACACATGACGCGCGCAGGTCTTGGAGGATGACGTGATGAGCTGTGAGGCTGGGTGTTTCTACATGGCTTCATGGGATATAGCAAGGCTTATGTAAGCCTTGATCACCATCTTAGAACCAAAAGTCAATGGGGGGTGGGCCAAACCTACATCTTGTGGTTGGCTTGTCCTACTTTTGGTTGTTTCTGAAAGGCGTTGAACCCCGAAAGCTGTGTCCATCAAAGTGAAAGCTGTGTCCATCAATGTGAACAGTTGGGTTTTCTGCAAATTGTGGGATTCCTGTTCTTTGAAAGGGTTGGTTTGAGAGTGTTGCTTTGCTGGATCAAGTGGAAGCCGTGGCTTCCTAGAACCACCAAAACTGGAAAGAACGGTTGGAGCCAAACCCGCTGAAAGCAAACGGTTGGACCCAACTCCAAATGGCTGGTTTCTTGTCCGTCTCGCTTTGGAAGCACAGAATTGGTCAAGACCCCTGAGTTCCTGGACATCAACACACATCTTGGGAAGAAAAAAAGGGTACCGAGGACAGGAAGTTCCTGGAGGATGTATTTTTTTGAGAAAGACCCGCAAAAAACTCCCCATGTGATCGATGCGAATCATGCGTCGACCCCCTGGCCCAGGTCACCCGCGCCTTTGCGGAGCTTTGTGCCGCCAGTGCCATGGAGGAGTCAAAGCCGTGCCTTTCCTGGGTTCCAAGGTGGGTTTGGGTTTGGAGCCCCACGAAACTCAGAATCATGCCAAAAATGTTCAGAGACGCTTCAACTCAGACATCCACAGCGAATCGACCTGAAATGACCTTTGGGTGTTTGCCCTTTTCGGTCCAAAGTTTTACTCATAGCCCGAAACGGTGCCTTTAAGGGTGCCCTTTGCAACCTCCACCTCCCCAGGGTGCCCTTTGCAACCTCCCCCAGGGTATTCTGAAAGTTGATAAAACGTGTTGGCTCCCACACCTTGTGAACTTGTCCGTTTCAATTTGGGACCATTTGGGTGGCGAATGAACAGTTCAGGTTGTGTTCGGCCTCTCAGGAAGTGAGTTTAGCCTGATGCTAGCGCGCCCGGCGGTGGCTTGCATGGGCGGTTTGGGATTTGAACGCCTGGTTCTTGTTCAGGGTGGATAGGAACCCTGAAGAATAGGAACCCTGAAAAATATCCAAACCAATCCAAATCACCAAGTAGAGGTAAGGTGATGTGGCATTCTGTTTGTTTAGCTTGATAGGCTTGACATGTTTGTATTTTCTTGAGCCCTAACCTTGCAGTTGACAATGGCCTATAGGTTGTTCAAGGGGCAGGTTTTGCCATTTGGCACGTTTTCCTGTGGATAGAACGAAGTGCGGCGACCTTGACTTTAGAAGTCCTCTTGAATAAGGGCCCTGTGTCCTACCTCAAGGAGGAAACTTGCTCCGGGCCCAGGCATGAAAATAGACAAACGGTGTCCACTGGTCTCCCTTACCAGGGACCAATTGTTTACCCTGCCTGGGCTTTGGGACTGTTTCAGGGAGTATCAAGGCAGGAAATGGGGGCTGTTTTCCAACAAGCTACAGGGAAGACTTCGGGGGTGACTTCGAAACCGGGGGCAGGTCCAGTGCATCCATCGTTGCAATTGCCAGGTATATCCATGGGTCCACTTTCATTACCCCTTGGAAGACTTTGAACATGGCAAACTTACCATGGCAAATGGTAAAGCTGGTGCCCTTACTTGACCACCAAAGTCACACTGGTGCCTTCGACTGTGGTCTACCCCCTACACCCAGGACCCACCTTTTGTAAGGTGCGATGTCAACACCTGGCTAAAAGCGGGCTGTGGATAACCAGGTTTATTTGCAGTAGGTCAACCCAACAAAATCTGATTTTCCTGTCAAAACCGAGGGGGGCGCGCTGGAAAGAAACGGAGGGTCTCGCAAGGACTTGGCGCTGACCACTTGGGCTGAGAGCGAGGCATGGGTGAGTCACGGCTGGTGCTTGCAGTTCGCTGTAGAACCAGCATATGGGTGTTTTTCTTGGGGGTATCGCTGTTTCTCTGTTCCTTTTTTTTGTGTGTGTGTGTGTGTTTGTGTTTGATTTTGTCTCGGAAACCAAAAGGAAGACCACTATTTGTCCTTGTTTTTTTGGGAGGGGGGATATGGCCACTATGTAAAGGGTTACATACAACACCTCCTCCCTGGAAGCCACCTAAGAGGTAGATATTTGCATGTGTGTTTGTTTGTTTTGGAGTTGTACCCTTTCAACCTTGGTTTAAAGGGAAACCAAAAGGGAACCGAAAACAATGTTTGGGCTGTACCCATTTCGGGCGACATCCCCACCGAAGCAGTTTTCGGGGTTCCCTCAGTGAAAATATGTCTCATCCTTGCTCCATATGGGTGTGAATTTTGTCTAGGACCTTTTGTGTGGACATCAGTTTGGTCGGGATTCACGCCCGTCAACCACTTTTGAAGTGTTTCCCTATGAAAAATCGTCGCCATGTACGGCACTATGTTTGTTTGGTGTTGGTGGTGGGGACACCAAACAGACACCACCCATGTCAAGGGGGTTTCCTATGGTTCGAAACGTGACCAGTTGTTTCCCCCTCCCGGGACATTTGAGGTGGATCTTGCGATGCTTCTCGGGGAGATGCAACAACACTTGGTCCCCTGGAAATTGTGATGGAACCCAACAAGGGGACTCTCCCAACAAAAAATATCCTCAGGGTTTTTTTCTGGGTTCCGGGCGCCATGTTAGTTTGTAGGGGAATACTTGAGCCTTTCCCGAGATCTGTTTCCGCGCCAGGCCACCAATGCTGTTGCGATGAGGCCGTTTTTTTGGCATTCGGTCCATGCGGATCTGCCTTTGGACGTCGCGACGTGTTGCCCGGTCAAGCACTAGAGGCCCCTTGTTTGTTCATCCCAACGGAAAGCCAACATTCATGAAATCGGTCGGTGGACATCATTCAGATGGGGATTCATGTCCACCAACCACTTTGGAGGGGTTCCTTATTAAAATTCATAGCCAATTCAAGCAGTTGGATTTGTTTGGCCCAGTTCGCCGGATTTTGGGCTGGATGGTGAACCAGCTACATCCAAAGAGTCAGATCCCTGGCATCGACGGAGGGGGATTCTGCAGGATTCCCAGGTTTGTCCTTGCGTCACTGCGTTCAATGTCAAGTCCTGCATGTGTGAAGGCATTTGTTGAGAAACACCAGGCCCATCATGCCACTTTGGGTGCATTAGTTCCATGGATCAATACCGTGTAGGAAGAACGAATCCTTAACATCGCCTCTCGGGCTCACGCTAGGTCTCCCTTTGATGTCATTTTAGCCTGGCCCTGCTCTGGCTGAACAGCGGCTCAGCTCGGCTGCGCTGGTTTGATCATGTTTTGAGATCCCATGGCGGACATGCTGCACCCACTGAGGCGTCTTCCTGTGTCAGCTGCCTCCAGCGGTTTTGGCGTTGCATCGAGCAGTCGGTGTCGTTTGAAACGCCGTGAAGGCCAGGGGGGAGAAGTGGCCTTCGGCCCAAAGCCGCGCGGAGCGCGGCTTCAGTCCTGCGCCAGAGGAGCTGCGAGGTGATGCTGGCCGGGGAGGGTGCAGGTTGCATCCCAGCTGCGGGAGGACCGGGGCTTTGTCCTGGAGGCAATGAAGAACCAGCGCCTGGTTCTCGGTGAAGTTGGCCAGCCCGGCTCTCTGGGAGGACGACTCGTTCTGCCAAAGTGCTGGACTGGCCCACTTCACTAGGAACCAAACACGCCGTGTCCAACAAGCATGGTGCACCAGGAGCCGAATGCCAGCAACGTCCTGAGGCTATCGCTAGGAACGGCATGCCCATGGGATGAAATTCCCGTGTGCGTGTATCCTGCCACAATATGCCACACATCTTGCTGGAGGAGACAGACAAGTCGGGCTCCTCCAGCGAGCTGTGTGGCATGATTAGCTTGCTGGGCTGTGGCCCATTGCTGTGCAGCCAGTCCTTGACGGAAAAAGAAACAACGGTAGCAGTACCAAACTTCCAGGGGCGGTTAGTGAAGTTGCATGGCGGGAGGATTAGACCACAGTGGAAGAAGGTAAAGCCCTCCTTTGATCAATCAATCCGATGACGCCAGCCCCGTGCTCATCTCAGAAGGAAACTCCAAGCCAAATCGACCAGCCACTTTTGAGACACCGTTCCGTTCCGTGGCATTTTGGTCCTTTGTTAGTTGGTGGCCCTAGCCATACATATACAAAATCGACCCCAAAGAGGGTTCCAGCTGTTCTTCCCTTTTTTGCCTTTTTGTTTGGCTTAAAAGCGGTCAGCCACGAAATGGGTTCCGTTTCTTTCTACCATCCGGATCACTTTTTGCAACTGGGCCTTTGCACGCGGAGGCTACAGTTCTGGCGTCAGCAGCTGCAGGGCACGTCTGGCGTGCAGCTGTGTGGCATAAAGGACAGAACAGACTTGGTAGGGGTTGGTTTGGATTGGTGGCGTGAGCATTTGCACCGGTTGTGCGCAAAGGCAAATGGGAAGCCACCCCGGCACCTTCAAACCGAATAAGCAACGGTCTAAGCAGATTTCAACAAGGGGCCAACAGTGGATTTGAATGATGACAGGATTTTCCGGGCATCTGTTTAACGATCGATAGCGCGAGTCGCTTGGTGAAGACGAGCGATCGAGCGGTACATGTGCGAAAGAAGATGTCCCTTAGGGAATCGGATTCCTTCCAGTTTGGGGAAAAATACATTTTAGATTTTAGAACCACTTTCTGTGAGAAGGGAATCAACTGGTCAAGTGGTCGGCAAATGGTCAGCTCTTCCACTTCAATGCTGTCCTCTAGGTCGGACCTCCGAAAGGGGCCGAAGCGAGCCAAAGCAGCGAGGCTTTCTGCTCGGCTTTCGGCTTTCTGGACGGTCGCGACGCACCAGCATGGATGGTGAACGTGTCAACGGACTGTTTTACCTGGTCCATTTTGCTTGAAACGACGTGGGCAGGCCCGCCCAAGTTCCCCACACAAACAAGGCGCGGGGAAAACGTGGTGTCCCCGCCCAGCTTTCCCATGACCTCCATGGGAAGCAAGTAATTTTGTCAGAGACTCAAAGGCATTGTACTTGTCTCAAGGAAAGCGAAAGCACAACCGTCACTGACTGTCCCACCCTGGACGACCATGTTCCTTTAAGATGGCCGGTGGTGTGGGCTGGAGGCAAATGTTGGTTGAAACTTGATTATGTACGACGAATTCATTGGGACCCCCTAACAGCGTAGCTATTCGCCTGAGCATGTCATGGCCGCGGCGTTTTGCAAACGGGTGCGGCAGTTGCACGAAAGGCGCAAACTCGTTGCAAAGAGAAAGCGTTGCTTATTCACATTTTGGTTCGCGGTGTCCTTCAACAGGGGACATGCACAACTAAATGATAGGATACGACAGCGCTTGAAGGATTCCTTTCTTAGGCAGCCCTGATTTTGGGGGCGGTGCATTCTACGTCAGATGTGTGAATCTGCCCGTGTCAGGACCAAGCGTCCATCTCCAACCCCTTCCGCGTCGCCTTGCTGGCACTGATCTCAGAGTTCCATCGTGGAACGCTTAGGACCGCCCCAACCACCCCCACCACCACCACCACCCCCACCACCACCATCACCACCACCCAAACGCCCTTTCCCGGTTTTTTTTTTTCTCCGTTTTTTTTCCATAGGCGTTTGGGGGTGGCTGGCGGTTTTCGGAACATATTGCAGACCGAACTCACCTTTGTACCAATTCAAGTTCTTGCATTTCTCCCTTTTAGCCAGCAAAACATCGCAACACCTGGCCAAGGGAAGTATTAAATGCGATGATTTTGGGGACCAATCCACCCTTGTCATCCCCAAGAAACCCACTCAGAGCATGACTGCCTGAAGAAAAAGATGGCGGTCGCCTCGCATTTTTTGAGGCGATGATGGATGGTTCTGGGCCAGCAGGCAACTCGTCCACTTCTCGAGTCGACGTGCCAAAACTTGCTGGGGTTCGATAGGCAGGGAATGACTTGGAATGACCCACAGTTGCAAATTATCCTATATAGTTTTTGTTTGGGGGGGAAAACCCCAGGCTCATTCCCAAAACCCTGGGTCATTCAAAACTGAGCACCAGCAAGAGAACACCAGTAAACGCAAGTGTTTGTGAATGGTTTGCAAGATTTCGGACCCCTATTTGTTTCCAGGAATCCAACTGGAAATCCAACCATTTTAAGGGTCCGTATTTCGAGAAGCCCCCTTTCGGAAATCTTGGGTTTTTTCAAGTGGGGAATTTCATGAACTTTATGGCTGAACTTTGGAAAGCGTTCCTGTCCACCGGACATGCTGCGGAGAATTATGGGGTGTTTTGGATATTGGAGGCAGGTATGGCCTTATGATTGAGGTCATGTTTCTGGGTTTAAGTATATGAAGAGGGACATGGGGGACGAGCTCCAATTTGCCCGGGGGGTTAGACCCTTTGGCTGGGGTCTCCAAACCAGATATGACTTGTTCTTGATATTCTGAAGTTGGGCGAATGTGAAACAGAATCTGAACCTGTGAGTGTCTTAACACAAAGCAACCCCAAAAAAGGGGACCCTTGGCTTCCAACCCGGAGCCCGCATGTCAAGTAGAATACGGTAGTCTTGGGCTTTGGAGCCGGGGGCCGTTGCGTCCAAATGGGCGTGTCCTTTTTAGAAACCCCGCAAAACGGATGGTTGTCCTTTCGGTTTCCCCGCTAAACTCAACCAACAGATGGTTCCCCACAAATAGACAAACGCCCCCCGCCCCACAGGAACAAGGTGACTTGTGGGACTGCACCGCCAGGCGAAGATACCAAGACAACAGATGAATAGGTGATGAACCCAACAGAGGTGAGGCTCAAGAATGAAGCCGCTGACCTGTTAGCCCTTCGGAATCCACTCCAAGAGAATGACCTGGCTCCGAGAAATACCCGGTAAGTGGATAAGAGATTAATAGGTGAGCGAAGTGAGCGAAGGAAAGGTCGCAAGATATCAACAGCCTCTACATCCCTTCTCTCGCTCTCTCTCCCTGTTCATCTCTGTTTCCTTTGTTGAGATTAGTTAATTGAAAGGAGATGGGGAGAGATGGAGCGGAGAAAGGGAGAGAGGGATGAGAAGAGAGCCCATGCCTTCCTCAAACGCATTTTCGGAACAGATGAATAAGCTAGGAAATGCTTGCAAACAAGAAAACAAGGTGAAGGTGTCTTCTATTAGTATGTGCGTGTGTGTGTGTTTTCTTTTGGATGAGTCTGACATCCAATGCAAAGAGGAGGTCAAGAGACGACGGAAACAGAGAAAGGGGAATATACTAATAAAAAAACAACATATATAAATGAGAAAGTGATATGATAAGATAGGTGATTTGAGGGCTTGGGATTTTATCTGGAATGCAGCCAATTGTAGTAGTAAGTAAGAAATGACCAGAACGATGAATAACCATGAGGTGTCTATACAATGGCAATTATGAATTGTCCAAATCTCAAAGTTTACTGCGAGTTTCCGAAAAGTGTGAGTAGCAACAGACAAGCAAGATATAAATAGTAGCATAGACGCAATGCAGGTGAGTATGTTGAAAGATGTTCATGTTGGAGAAGAAAGACATATGGAAATAATCGTATATAGTTGAATTAGCAATATGTTCTTTCTGAGAAGGGTACCGCCCAAAGGAAAACAATACCCATATTAGGATTAGCACATGTTGCAGTTTGATGTTGAAGGCGGTGTATGTGGTGGACTTTCGAGTTCTTAGACCCTGAAAGGAGTCTGCGGTGAAAAGATCCACGGTCTGTGAGAAGTTTCCGCCCTGAGGCGGCCCAAGGTGGCACCAAGGCCCCAAGGTCAGGTGTTGGACTTCAGGTATTGCGCCCGAAAATTTCGCTTTCTCGACACTCCTCCAAGACAATTTTTCAATTTAGGCCAGGCAAAATATGAAGCATAATCCGAATGAATCCGAAAGATGGATTTTATGCGTACAGATGGGCCAAGTGGCCGTGCCAGGGGCGACCATGTCTCCCCGGCGCCGAATCGGCGCAGCTTCGCCGAACGAGCCGCCAGGGCCCCATCCAGCTTGATAGAAGCCTCCAGCAACGACTGCTTTGTCCTATGCTCCAAACCCGACGTGTCCAAAAAACAGCGTTTGGCGGGTGGTACAAATCACACGGAACCCAAAAAGAGGCCATTCGCCAAAAGGTGTGTTCCTAAAATATGTTGTTGTCTGATTGTTTGGGGTGGGCAATCGACTTGAGTGTCAGGGATCGCCCATATTTTCACCACCAATATTTTCACCACCAACCAGACGCCCAAGGGCCACCCAAAAAAAGTCCCCAGTTTTGGACGCAAGACGTCTGGGAGTGGCCGGTTTAAGGGAAGCCTTTTTGGGGCCATATCAAACATAAAAGCATCTTCACACCGCTATATGCCCGTGGGTCAACACCAACGGGATCCCATTTTGGGGTAGGTGAAGTCACCACCCATTTTAGAACCTAGTTTAGTGGGGATTGGGATGTTCACTGGGGGTACGATTTGGCTTTTGACCCATACTTTTGACCCATAGCCATATGCATGGAGTAAATGTCCAAGGCCCAAGGGTTCCCCCAATTCAACCAACCGCTGAGTCCGGGCCCCTCGGCCGCTGTAGCAGCCTGGGCCTTCTACGAGTTCCGGGCGCGGGGCATGCATATGGGGGGATATCTGTGGCAACCGGTGCTTTCCGAGAGAGCAGAGAGAGTGGGAAAAGAAGAAATATATGTTGAACATTAAAAAAAAAATAAAAACAATAGAAAAAAAGAAAGAAGAAGAAAGAGAAAGGCAGAATCTCTTGGCAACTGCACTCGTGTTTCTCAAAATCTCAAATACAGCGTTTCAGAGGTGCAGCTTGTGTCAAAGGCCCATTCTGCGTCCGACTTCGGAACCTATTTGTTGAATGTTGACCCCGTGTTTATATACCCGTCGTCCTATTCAGGGACTGTTCCCTCCAGAAGTAGTAACCCCCCACTCAACGGGGTATTAATCAACCAGGGGGTTATTCATCTGGGGTTCCCATTGGTGGTTGGAGTTTGCAGGAAAGCTTCAAATCGCAGGTTTGAGGCTTGCCCCTTTTTCAGAAAGCCCGAAAATGTGTCGATGCTGGTTTTGCAGGCTCAGTGACTCAGTGTCCAGTCCAGGTCCGCTAGTCCGTTTGGGAGGGACATGGGGATTCTCCCAGGGATTCTTCGATTTGACCGTGGGTCCATCGAAGGTATAGCAACTGTTGCCTGTGGCGTTCATACCGACCGGCTTTGACAATGATACTCCCCTCTTGTTCTTGAATGCAGTCAAACCAGCGGCTAGGAAAATCAGCAAACGGGCATGTCTCCACGTGTGCATATCGCACAACTTTATTGATTCGTAGGCTTGTGAAGTGTTTAAGACAATCCAGAGCTTGGCGTGATACGTCTCTTGTTGACTCGTGGTTTGTGTGGGTCTTTTTGCTTGTTGTTCAACAAGGCCTTGATTGTCCGGTTTTTTGGGCAAACCAAAAGGATGCTGAATCAACAACCGCTTAAGACACCAAGACAGTGGCCATGGGGAAAACAAGGGCACCATTTTGCGTTTGAAACCGTGGTTTTGACAGGGGGTGGAATCGCCCAACGGCAGCCGAAGAAACAAAAAACGCTCAAAATACTGATCAGCAGGGAAGAAGATGGGTATCTATTCGTTCTGCCCATGTTAGTCATTTTCTTGGGGCTAAGATCCGATTCATGTTCCCTTTTACTTTCTGCCCTTGTGAAAGAGTTTTGAGAGCAACCTGAGGGAAAATATCTGCATGTTTGTTTTTTTGTGTTTTGCGGAGAACCTATGGGACTACCTTCCTTTCAATCTTTGAAGGGCAACCAACAGGAAGCCGCGCAGATTTGGGACCCCCAAAACCCCCCCCCCCATGGCCTCCCCCCCCCCTTTCTGATCACCGAGCTTCGTTTCCAGGCCGCGCTGTACCCAGAAGCCCTGGAGGATGTTGGGCTGATGCCAAAGCCCAAGCCCAGGCCCAAGCCCAGCCGCAAGGCGCGGAGCACCCTGGAACGATGGGTCAAAGTTCGTTGGCCCTGGGTGTGTGTGTGTGTGTCAAAGGACACCCCTGAGGTTGGCTTCTGCCCCAGTGGCTTTCTGTTTGGTGT